TTTCAGATGCTGACCCTGTTTTTATTTGTTTGTTTTGGAGACAGGGTCTTGCTATGTAGCACTAGATGACCTCACTCACTATGTTATTAGACCAGGCTAACCTTGAACTCACAGAGATCCATCTACCTCTGCCTCCTGAGTGCTGAGGTTAAAGGTGTTTGCTGCCACGCCTGGCCTGGGGTTGCTTTTTTTTTTTTTTTTTTTAACTCAGAATTCTTGAGAAATCAACTGGCCAAGTCCATTCAGTTGCCCTTTACTCACCCATGTTAGTGCTGGGACACTTGATGCCTGTTCCTGCAGCAGCAGAGGCTTGTCTGCTTTGCACATTTACTGCATACCTATGAACATGTACATGTATGTGCTCACAGGGGGATCTCCTTACTCATTTAAAATGCCACATTGAGTGAGTTCAACTCTCATATGTTCATCTCTAGATGCTTAGGAATAAATTATGTAAAGTTAATGTTTTCAAATAAAACATTAGAATAAGCATCTAGGGCCTGAGAAGAGCCAGATACTAGACAAGCAATATCTGAACACCGAGGAAGCCATATTAAGTTTTTAAGCAGTTTCTTAAAGATTAATGAGGTTTAATGTGACCTATTTAGAAGAAACAGCTCTTTGTTGAGTCCCACTAGACGGCATCTCTGCTGATGGAGGTAAAATCCTGTCTCTCTACCTTTCGTCCTTTTCCCCTCAGAGCAGGGATCTGACCGAGGGCCTGGTGCATGCTCCGTTAGCACCCTACCACTGAGCTCCCTCAGCTGTCCTTTTCCTCTCTCACTGGATTATTTCTGTCTACACAAGGAAAAACGTGTAAGATGGATCAGCACAGAATTAGAGGGAAAAGTGTTGCATCTACCCTTATTGACAATTCAGCTAAAAAACTGGGGCTACAGTGTCTCCCTGGGAACAGTAGATCCCTTGATGTCTCTGGATGCTGCAGGATTGTTTGAGTCCCTGGCACACCAGGCCTCATGCATCCCCTTCCCCTCTCTGTGGTCCTTTCAAGATGACTGCTCATTTGAGAGGCACCAGATAAACTGATAGTTGAGATGTCCACCATCTGAACAATGCGCATGACCGATGTATGTTAAGTAGCTGCCAGGGTGGCCTGACCACTCCCAATGAACCACAGATGCTGAGCTCAGAATTTCTGGCACTTTCTAACATGTGTCTGAGCAGTAGTTTGGAAGCCTAACCCCTGACTTTACAAATTCATAAGAACCAGGGTTTTGTAAACTCAACAGAAAGCTAAATAAACAAAGCCAGGGCTTATACTCGCTCTTGTTATTTTTACAGCAATCTTTCAAAGAGACTCCCCATCACCGATTTCTATCTTCTTAAGGCATACTGAAGGGGAGCCGTTCAAAATAACCAGACACTGGTGGGAAGAGCTCATTAGATGTGTGCTAGCGTGCAAGCCACCGGATGCCTCCATGAGTCTCTCTTTCCCAGCCTTCTCATGGAGGAGCCAGGAATAAAAACATGGACATTTATATTTACCCAGAAGTGTGCGTGGCAGTTGACCATCATAGTTCTCTCAATGAGCTCATCAGGGCACTCCAGAAGGTGATGTCCAGAAACCACACCAGCATTGTTGACCAGGACGGAGACCTCACCGACTTCCTTGCGGACCCTTTCGGCTGTCAGGTAGACATTCTCCCTCTTTCCCACGTCACAAGTGTAGGTAAAAACCTGCAAGTTACACGGGGGCAGGATTTCTTCCTCACCATTCCCAGCTGTCCTCAGATGAGGGGAGGAGAGAGAAGGGATGCAGAAAGTAAGCCACATGGCAGTCAGCAGGACAAAAATCATACAAAGCAAAAGTACTACAGTGAGCTTCAAATTTTTAACACAGTAATGCTTGCCAATAACTCAGCTTACAGCTGCCTCCCCCCCTCCACCCGAAAGTCTTTGGGAATTACAGCAATTTACTGGACAACGTTGCTTAGGGGAAAGTCATGTAATTGTGGCAAGTCCTATACAAGTAGACCACATGGGATCAACTTGCTGGAGCTAGACACCTGCAAAGAACTGATCTCAGCCCAGAGAATAACACACATTACACATTCCTGTTTTCAGATGGGGGCGGGGAGGAAGCTAGAGAGCTCTACCCTTAAAACAGAAATTCATTCCAGGGCTCACAAATCCAAATTGCAAGCAACAATCTGAACTCATTCAAAGGCAAGAAATGAATGAGAAGTTTCTAATGAAAGCATGGAGGTCACTGGTTTGTCTTTAAACTGATTCCCCTAAGAATTAATCTCATAGATGGAATTTAGAAGTTAATATGCAAGCTTACCATATTAGAGTTCAAACAGCATAAAATCAAAATCCCTTCCTTAAAAATGAATATTGCCTTCTCTTAGATTTGGGCAGAGAGCACAAATGTCCAAATTTGTTGTCCCTGCACACTACCTTTGAAAATGCAACATTTTGAACCATACATAAAAACACACAGGTTCTGGTAAGTTTGGTAACAAATGACAGGCATGGGGGAGAGTGGAGCCCAAGCCAATCTAGCCACCATCAAATTCCCTAGACCAGTATCTAATCTATAGCCGCTCATGATCTCAACTTAGGCTTACATTTTGCTTTCAGATACAAACTAGTTGTTAAGCAGATCGGGGTACACCAAGACCGTGAAAGAAGTTTACAAAAGGTCTGAAATCATTGAAGCACTCTCTCAAATCACTCTCAGCTACTCTGGGTTGGTAACTAAAGCATTTACTTAAGGATGGGGAAACAATGTAATTATTCCCCGGAGCTAAAGTTATAGTGAAACCATCCACACAGCTCTAGCCTAAGCCGCTCAGATTTCACAGAAAAAAGATAACTGCTACAAGTCCATTGTAGGAACAACTTCCCAAAGACACTTCAGCTTCCCATCATGCCACATGCAAGTCAGACTGAGAAAACTGCTTTCGGATCTAAACCTGTAGTAACAGCAAGGGACCCCCCCCCAACCTTCCACTCCTGACAGAGTTTAGGAAACCCCAGCGTGTTGCTGAAGAAACAGGGTTTTCGTGCACTTTCACTCTCCTAACACGGAAAATCGTGCTCTCTTAACAAGGGGCAAATTCCACTCGCCTTCGAGATCAGTAGGTGTTCTTTTCCTGGAGAGCGAGGTTGCCCATGACCGTGGGTTATGGGGACCCTCCCGGGTGGGGAGACATTTGACCTAACAATGCACGGGCAATTACCTTGCAGAGCAGCGGCATCGGCCGCTTCCAGGTCCCGGTAGATGTGACGAACCATGCCTGCGGTCTCCTCGTTGCTCTGCGTGTTGATGTCCCAGAGAACCAGCAGCGCCCGGCGCCGGGCAAACTCCAGGGCAAACAGGCGGCCCAGGCCGCTGCCCGCGCCCGTGATGAGACACACCTGGCCGGCCACGCTCTTCTCCTTGGGCCGTACGAGCCAGCGCGCCGCGGCCAGCACGAACGCCCACAGCACTTTAAAAGTGACCACGAAGAACTCCACCACGATGTTCATCGCGACGCCCCGGGTCCCGCGCGAGCCCAGCACGGTGTCCTCACTCTCCCCGAGTCGGATAGCCCAGCTCCTGGGCCCGGGAGCGCTTGTCACCACGATCGGGACGCGAAGGCTGCGCCCGGAGTCCGCCCCCCGAAACGCCGCGGGGCCGAAGTGCGCGGGGCCAGTCCCGCCCGGGCTCGGCGCGGTGGCCACGGGCTACGCCTGCCGCGGCTGCTGCTGCTCGGCTGGGCACCTCCTGCCGGCGGCCCCCTGCTCGTCCCGCAGCGCCCAGCCGTCCGGTCCCGCTGCAGCGGCGGTGACAGCCACGAGTTAGGCGTCGCGCGCTGCCCTCATGGCCAAGCCGCCGCCCCCCGGAACGTCCCCCGAGCCGCTGCAGCGGCTCCCTCTCCTCCTAGGGCAGGGGCGCGCCGTGCGGGTGGCTCGGGTCGCGGGAGTTGTCAACTTGACTCAAGTTGCGGGAGGGTGCGGGCGGCGCCGGGGAGGGACGACTTGTGGGGCGCACGCGAGGGCTGCCAACCGCTCGAGCTGCCAGCGCGGCGCGGGTCCCCTGCCCTGCACTCGCGCCGCTGTCACTCGGGCGCCGCCGGGCTCCGCCGCGTAGCTACGCCCGCGTCTCAGAGCGCTCCCAGCCGGCTCTGAGAGCCAGCCGCACACGGCGCTATATAACCCAGCGCCGGGACGCGCCGGCCGCTGCAGTGGCATCGGCCCTCCCTCCGCTCGGCCCTCCCCGCCCCCGGGCGCACCCCGCCCCCGGCTCAGCTCCCCCTGCCCCCCCCCGCCCGCTGGCCGCCCCCACCGAGCGGGGCAGCCCCTCTCCCACGACCGTGGCCGAAGCCTCCCGCCCTGGCCGCGCCTCTCTTTGCGGCTCACGCCCCCTGCCGTGGGTCATCGCGGCTGGCTCCTGCCTGGCCCCGCGGTCTCCGGAGCACCCCCTGTCCTCCTCGGACCGTCCGGTCATCGCTCTTGCCGGTCTCGCCACTTTCGCCAATCGAGGGATTGCGGACTCCGAGGCCTGCGATCAGGCGCTGCGGAAGACAGCCCCACTGGAGGGCTAAACGAGGACCTCGGCAGCGCGGCCGCGTTGGGGGAGCAGGGCTGCGTGGCCACGGGCGGCAGAGAGCCCGCGAAGGTGGCCGACAGTGACTTCCTATCTCGGCTAGCCGCTGGGGACGTGAGCCCCTAGATTCTAGAGAATCTAACGGGAATTACCGCCGCGAAGGCTGCCCAGGATCGGGGTCAACGTCGCCCTCCCGCCCGGCGGGCTATGGAGTGATGCATGCTGGGACTTGTAGTTCACACCCTTGGACGTGGCTTTTGGCTAAGCCCAACCTCAACGCAACCTGGGGGAATTAAACCACAAGCTGACAAGGTGTCAGCGTTGTGCTCATTAAAAAAAAAAAAAATGTACTCAGTGCACTTGTTTTCCCACGAGTTTTACCCTGAAGTTGATTGGCAGTGACAAAGTCAGGCTGTTGTTAATTTTGCGCCTGCAAAGTGAGCTCTCAATTCTAGATTCTTTTCTGGCTTATCTTTGGACAGCTATAAGTCCTGGGGCTTTGCGCTCGCGGACCTTTAAGGGGACTGCGCATGCGCCAGCTTCCTCTCTCTTTTTGCCGACTGGAACCATGGAGGCTGTTCCGTGAGTAGACTCTCCACTTCTCCTGAATCCTCCTCCATCCCCGAAACTGGAGGCATTTGGCTTCCCTTTTCCAGCATCTGGCCTTAGCCAGCCCCAGTGTCTACCCATCCGAGTGTTTATGACGCCGTGTGACACTGACGGGGGGGTGCGGATGGCCTGGGCGCTGAGGCCTCGGAAACTCCGGGAGCAAACGGGGCGGATGTGTGCGGAACCCGGCACCTGGGCGGAGGTCCACCTTGCGGTGGAGCGCATTTCGAAGGGCCCTGGAACTAGGCTCCTTGGTGGCTAAAGTTGGCTTCGGCGTCTGCCGACCGGCCGAGCCCGCCAACATGTGGGTCTTGAGACTTGAACCGAAAGAGCTTTCTAGAGTGCTGGAACCTTCGCCCAAAAGTTAGTAGAGGCCGGGACTGATGACCGAGGGTAGGCCTACCGTGTTTGCCTTTAAGGCGTGTGTTACATGCAAGGCGAAGAGATGGGCATGGAGGAAATGTAAGCTCTGCATCTTAAAGGAGAACGTGCTAGAACAGCATGCCAGTGGGTAGGGCGGGTGACTTTTAACAGCATAGTGCTGAGTGCCGGTGAGTTTGATGCACCGCCAGGAGGATTCTGACCTAGTAACAATCTTGTTAATGCTAGGGAGAAGAAAAAGAAGGTTCCTGCTGTGCCAGAAACACTTAAGAAAAAGCGAAGGAATTTCGCAGAGTTGAAGGTGAAGCGCTTTCGGAAAACGTTTGCACTGAAGACAGTAAGTAAACTTTGGGGTCCCTTGGTTGGAACTGGGACTATCTCTCTTAGGAAGCTGTCCTATGCTGTGGCAAGACAGTTTTCTAGAACTGCTGTTTGGGAACTAAATTGTGAGTAACTGGTTTTCAGCTGCGGAAGGCACGGAGGAAGCTTATCTATGAGAAGGCAAAGCATTACCACAAGGAATACAGGCAAATGTACCGGACGGAGATTCGCATGGCTAGGATGGCGAGAAAGGCTGGAAACTTCTACGTGCCTGCAGAACCCAAGCTGGCGTTTGTGATCCGAATCCGAGGGTAAGTTGGCTTTGAGTCACATTCTGGGAGCGCTGGTGCTGAGGCATCGGCAGGACTGTAGGTGTAGCTGGAAGAGTTAAGTTCAGGGTCCTGAGCTTGTCTTAAGAATTTGTGGTATTGCAGCAAACACTGTATGACAAAGTTTTGAGGATGAAAGATAAAAGGCAAGTTGTGGCGAGTCTATTTATGGGACTTGCATGTGCTCTGTTATGTTTGAAGTTCTGGTGGATTCTGATTAAACATTTTTGGTCTCTTTCTGGCAGTATCAATGGTGTGAGCCCAAAGGTCCGCAAGGTGTTGCAGCTGCTCCGTCTTCGCCAGATCTTCAATGGCACCTTTGTTAAGCTCAACAAGGCTTCGATTAACATGCTGAGGATTGTGGAACCATACATTGCATGGGGGTGAGTTTTCTGTCTAGTAGCTTGGTCATATGACAAGATGAATCTGGCTGCTTCAACGGCTGTATCCTTCCTCATCACTTTCCTGCTTTTCATACTTTAGGTACCCCAACCTGAAGTCAGTCAACGAGCTCATCTACAAGCGAGGCTATGGCAAAATCAATAAGAAGAGAATTGCCTTGACAGACAATTCCTTAATTGCTCGATCTCTTGGTAGGTTGTGCTTTTGGGGGCCAGGGGTTGATGCTTGATTGTTGTGTTTCCCTTATTTTGCATACATGTGCTATAGGCCTAAAGTTGATGTCCCTCCACTTCATGGTGGCCTTAGTTGTTGCTGAAAGCAAGAGCTGCATTCTGACCTAGCTACCCCTGCCCCTTGATGTGCCCGGAGTACAGGCGGGCTACTGTGCCCGTGTTGTTTGGGGTGCTTCACTGTCCTCACTGTTGTGCACAAAGCACTTTCTGTCTCCTGCGCCGGTTTCCCTGTCTGGCCTCTATGACTGATCTTTACATGATCCCCAAATCCTTGATGGTTTTAAGAAAAATAAATGTGGAGCTGGGCGTTGGTGGCGCACGCCTTTAATCCTGGCCTAGGCAGGCGGATCTCTTGAGTTCGAGACCAGCCTGGACTACCAAGCGAGTTCCAGGACAGGATCCAAAACAATACAGAGAAACCCTGTCTCGAAAACCAAAAAGAAAAATAAATGTGGAACATCACATTTTTATTTTTAATACAAGGTCTCCCTGTGTCTCTGGCTGGCAGAAACTCAGATTTGCCTGCCTCTACCTCCAACTGATGGGATTAAAGGTGTGTGCCCTGTCCGGATTATTCTGCCTGTAATTGTTATTGTATTGTTAAGGACTTTAAATTTTGGTGATCTTAGATTCAAATTGTTTCAGGTAAATACGGCATCATCTGCATGGAGGACCTAATTCATGAGATCTACACAGTTGGAAAACACTTCAAGGAAGCAAATAACTTCCTGTGGCCCTTCAAGTTATCTTCTCCACGAGGTGGAATGAAGAAGAAGACCACTCATTTTGTGGAAGGTGGCGATGCTGGCAACAGGGAAGACCAGATAAACAGGCTTATTAGGCGGATGAACTAAGGTGAGATGATGTCCTGACATAACTAGGCTTTTTTTTGTTTTTTGACATACATTTCTGTTCTGGAATTTACTGTATACCAGACTGGCCTTGAACTCAGATCTGCCTGCTTCTGCCTTGAAAGTGATGGGATTAAGGGTGTGTGCCACCACTGCCTGGCAGTTTTAAGGGAGGGCATGTAATCTTGAATGCTTTCTGTTAAATGCTGATTGGGTGTGTCATTGAATTTTAATGTGGGGGGTCTTGCAAATTTGTGGCTTGGACAGTAGTCTCTAACTTGTGTATGTTTTTCCCTTTCAGGTGTTGCCCGTGGTTTTTTTGTAATCTGGTCAGTTAATAAACAGTCACAGCTTGGCAACCTGAAATGTGTTGGAGTCTTTGTTGATCTACCTTTAGCTACCTACCTACCACTAGTGAATCTTAGAACATGAAAAATTAACAGTATATCTTGTGAAAGACCATTTGTAGAAGGAGATTCTCTGAAAACAGTCAATTTTTTTTTATTTAATCTTAAGATGAATGAATCAAACTTGGAGTACTTGTGATTTCTAGGAAAATGGTAAGTTTGGTGTGCTAGCCATGTCTCGGGCTTTGATTTTTCCTGGCACCCTACACCTGAATGTGTTGTTGTTGTTGTATCCCATCCTGTTTCCGTTTTATATATATGGTTGCTTGGCCTGCGTGTGTCTGTGTAACATCTGCATGTTTTTATATGTGGATGCTTGGCCTGCGTGTGTCTGTAACATCTGCATGTTGCTGGTGGAGTTGGAGTTACCATGGATGTGAACTGGTGTGCTGAGACGCCAACTCCGGAAAAGCATCGCTGCTTCTAGCTGCAGCCATCGAGCCCTGCCTTCTTGATATTCTTAGCTTTTGGTCCTAAGTGGATGAGTTCATGTACTTTTTAATGTACATTTTAATTTCAGAGCAGTTGCAGTGAGATTGATGAGCAAAACATAAGGTTTTTGGTTGTCTTTGGTTTTTTGGGGGGGGGTTGTTTGTTTTTGGTCTTTTGAGACAGGGTCTCTATTGTTTTGGGAGGCTGGCCTTGAACTCAGATCTGCCTGCCTCTGCCTCCCAAGTGCTGGGATTAAAGGCGTGCACCACCAACGCCCAGCTTTGGTTTTTGTTTTTGGTCTCCGTATGTCTTCTCATCCCCTCCCACTGAACCTCTTCATCTGAAGTCGTAATTTTGTGTCTTGGGTGTGATGCCTGCTGTAATCTGGTGCCTGCCTGAGCATAGGATGTAGTTATTTGCCTTTCCCAGTAGCAGCTATTAACTACCTACCTCAGAATGTAACAAAGTTGTCGAGTAGATGATCTAAATTTGGGGACACTGTTGGAGAATTGGTTTAAAGTAGATAGCTGAAAAGTTCTTGTCACATGTTAGATATTGGTGGTGGCCCTAGAAGAGAATTTCTCTGAATTGAGAGTCTTGAGTTTGGAGAGAAATGCTGATACTTTATTCATAAACATGTTATGGATGTGATACTCCACCTTTAATCCCAGCACTTCAGAGGCAGGTGAACCTGAATTCTGTAGGGCTGTGCATAGACATGGTCTTGAAGGGAAAAAAACCATGAATGCTCACCTGTGCTTGTGGGTGGAGTAAAAAGGCTCTTGTGAGCCACATGGTGTAGATACTGAGAATGGAGCCTGGGTCTTCTGCAAGATGGCTCTTGTCTCTGAGCCCTGTCTAGTCATCTGCTTGGTTTGTCTTAGCAGCTACATCCAGAGGGTATAGTCTGTCTTTGCATGGCTACAACAGCACTTAAAACTGTTGGTGCCTCCTTGGTTTCCAGGTTTATAGGAAATAGTGAGGGTGATGGGTGGCCTCGGATCTGGGTCAAGAATGCAGTAAACTTGGGTGGTGGTCTTTATCAGTGTTAGGGCTAGTTTGTAAGGGTAGGTAGCCCTTCCTGGAACACATGTAGTCCATGCTGTTTAACCTGTACTGTCATCACAGCTATGTGCCACCACTGGCAGCCAATGTTAATTTTAGAGAAGTTATATGTTCACAGAACTGTGCCCTTAGGAATCTGTGAACCTACATTATCACCAAAATTAGGAAATCTGAGCCATGTAGGCACAGTAGGAATGCCGGAGTGGAGTAGACACAGGAGAAAAACTATATTCCCTTTTCAGAATTGGTATACTTGTGTGTTAGGGGTGGGGTTGCATGCAGTAACCAGGTGCTCAGAAACAGTGCATGAGAAAGATAAAGGAAAAAACTATTTTCCCCTCACTTAAAAAGTAAATGGGACAAGAGAGATGACTCTGGAGAAGAGCACTGGTTGTTCTTCCAGAGGATCTTGTGTCTGAAGTACTGGGAACCCCCACCCCGGGGAAGCCTAGCTTTTTGGAGCATTTGGCACATCTGAAACTTGGTTGCTCTTTTAGCCACTCAATAGAAGACCTGATTATTAATCACTGTAAAATAGCGTTTGAGTAGCATTCAAGTTCCTGTGCATTGCAGCCTCTTCACACCCTTTTTCTGTAATTTCAATATTTTAATGGGGTAGCAGTCATTTAGGAAGTTGTATTAAGTCAGAAGGGGAATACTGTCCTGGCTAGTTTTTTTTTTTTTTTTTTTTGTCAACTTGACACTAGTTTTGAGAATAGGAATCTTCTATATTTAAAAACCCCGCCGGGCGGTGGTGGCACGCGCCTTTAATCCCAGCACTCGGGAGACAGAGACAGGCGGATCTCTGAGTTCGAGGCCCGGGCTGGACCGACAGCCTCCAAAACAATAGAGAAAAAACCCACTCCCTGTCGGGCGTTGGTAGCTCATGCCTTTAATCCCAGCACTCAGGAGGCAGAGGCAGGTAGATCTCTGAATTTGAGGCCAGCCTGGTCTACAGAGTGAGTCCAGGACAGCCTTGTATTGCTTAATACAGAGAAACCCTGTCTCAAAAAACCCACTCCCAGAAGGAGACTGGCCCTGTGGGCAAGCCTGTGATAACTTTTCTTGATTGATAATGAATGGGTAGGCCCAGGTTCTTGTAGGCAGTGCCACCCCTGGGGCACTTGGTTCTAATGGTTTATATATTAAAAGGGCACAGCAAGCATGTAAACCCCATTTCTCCATGGCCTCTGCATCAGTTCCTGCCTGAAATCCTTTCTTCCTGATGTTGCTCTTGGTCATTGTGCCTATCAGTACAGTGGAAACACCAAGACAAGATATTTAAAATACAAAAGAAAGCTTAAAATTGTTCGTTGAGGGCTGGAGAGATGGCTCAGAGGTTAAGAGCATGGACTGCTCTTCCAGAGGTCCTGAGTTCAATTCCCAGCAACCACATGGTGGCTTACAACCATCCATAATGAGATCTGGTGCCCTCTTCTGGTATGCAGGCATACATGGAGGCAGGATGTTGTATTCATAATAAATAAGTCTTTTAAAAAAATTGTTCGTTGATACCTAAAAGCCAACCAATTCACATGCACTAAGCACTGTTTGCACCTGCTTGTTCTGTTACGTCTGCCTTATTGCGTGTCACATGGAATGCTGCCAACTTTGTCCAAGCCTGTCTTAGATTTTTTTTTTCTTTTGGAAAATTGATGCTGCTACTTAACAGCAATGGTGTTTGACCACTCTTGGAAAAGTCCAAATCCTTCCTTAAATCAACTTGACAAAGTCTTGATCCAATTACTTTCAACACCACAGAGATGTTTCACTTAATTACGACATGGCATCAATAAAGTCCTTCTGCTGGGCTAGGAAAGTGGTAAAGTCTCATGCTGCCTGACGTGAGTCTGCTGCTCAGAGCCCACAGTGGGAGAAGAGGACCCACCAACTCATGAAGTTGTCCTCTGACCCCACTCCATGTACATGTGCACACAAACATTTCTGGTTTGGTTTAAAACTTAGTACATGAAATTCAGACAACCTTGTGGGAAGATTCCAAGTCTCCTGCCTTCAAGTGAAGATTATTACCATTCGCTAAAAAACTTGGTAAAACTGAGGGACTGGAGAGGTGGTTCAGGGGTAATCAGTTCCAACATCAGCCCCCTAACTTTTGGCCAAGAAAAGCCATTTCTAGTCCCAAGGTCAAGCACTGAAGCTCCAGTCTTACTACCCCTCTGAGTTCATACTCTCCCCATTAGACTTCTCTGTCTCCGTACTACCCCTCTGAGTTCATACTCTCCCCATTAGACTTCTCTGTCTCCGTATTCCTGCCATGGTCAGGTCTCCCTCAAGCAGGGCCCTGGTGCTCTCGGGCTGCCAACATCTACTGGACAGATCTGCCTTGAGCACTGCTGAGGCCCCAGTGCCTGCTGAAAAGCCAGTAAGTCAACTTCACAAAACAGCATTTGAAATTCCAGGCCTCCTGCTAGCTGGCACATTGTGGCTACTGGGCATTTGTGGTAGAGGGTAGAAAGGTGGAACACGAAGAATGGATTTGTGTGTGTGTGTGTGTAGCCTTAGGACAGTTGTGTAGGAGTAATGGAACTTAATAGAACGTTACAGGGACACAATTCATGTTACATAAATTAGAGAACTTTATAAGGGAAGCTGGAGATACAGATTTCTATTAATACTGTCTCCAAGACTTAGGGTGAAATATGGACTGCTTAGGCTAAATAGACAGTGTTTTCCATTAAATCAGTTTTCTAAATTTTAAATTATTGTACTGTGTATGCATGTATGCACTTACTCTGGACGTGTGTGTGTCTCGGACCTTTACCCCTTTACTGGCTCCTAATTTTTTTGGGGGGGGGTTTACGAGACAGGGTTTCTCTGTATTGTTTTGGAGGCTGTCGGTCCAGCCCAGCCTCGAACTCACAGAGATCCGCCTGCCTCTGCCTCCCGGGTGCTGGGATTAAAGGCGTGCGCCACCACCGCCCGGCGTTGCTGGCTCCTAATTTACTGTTTTAAAATATTATACTCACCTTGTGTATGTGTATGTTGTTCATATGCCACAGTGTGCCTGTGGAGCTCAGAGGAAAACTCCTAGGATTCCTTTCCTGCCATCTTGTGGGATCACGGATAGATGGAACTCAGGTCATCAGGCCCTGGAAAGTATTCCTACCTAGTGAACAAGCTATCTCACCATCTCTAACTTATGAAAAAAGGGAGAAGGAGGTGGAGGGGTAGAGGAAGGAAGGACGGAAGGAAGGAAAACACAGGCTGTGGTGTAACCCAGACTGGCCTTGAACTGGCAGTCCCCCTCAGACTCCGTCCACATGCTGAAATTACAGGTGTACAGCATGAGTACCTTGTCATCAAACATTATGTTAGTAATTGTTAGGATATTTGTACCGGCTGTATGTGGAAGGGATTAGGTACCCTTTACCTTAGATAGAATCACTATTTTGTTTTTAAACGAGAAAAAACTTTTTTGGGGCTAGAAGAATTTAATTGTATTTTTCATCCTGTTAAAAATTCTAAAGAACTATGTGAGCTTGCCACTTTTATGGGAATTCATATTTTGCCTTTCGTCATTTCTTCTGACTCAGATGTGGATAAGCGTGTGCTGGGGGTGGCTCAGTGGGCTAGTTGCCCAAGTGTGAGGTCTGGAAGCATGAGAACACGTGTAAACCCTGGACATGATTGAGTATGTCTGCAATCCCTTTGCTCCTATAGGAAGATGGGAGGCAGAGTTAGCAGAATCCACAGAAGCCTGAGGGCCAGCCAGTCTGGTGTAGACAATTGTAAACAACACAGACCTTGTCTCAAACAAGGTTGTTCTCTGACCAAACAAACGTGCCTGCACTCAGACATATGCTCATGGGTAAAAGACATAACAACGCTCACGTGTGTGCATGCACACACACTTTAAAAGACTTAAAGAGAGATTATAAAGTGACCTCTCTGGATTTCATTATGTCATTAGCAAATAATATGAGGTACATTTTCTAGAACTGGCTTCCTCTGTTTCTACTGTGTTTTGAAAGTTCATGTTGAAACTTAATGCTCAACAACATTAAGAGGAACAAGATTGTTGGTGGTTAGGTTGAGAGCTTTGGTCAGTGCCTTTCAAATCAGCTGGGGCAATATGGTAGCCTTCGTTTTGTCCTTCTCCATGTGACATTCCACTTTCAAGGGGCCATCGTGAAAGAAGGTACTGTTCCCTCACCAAACACTGACCCTGCCTTCCCCTTGATCTTGAACTTATCAGCAGTAGAACTTTAAGAAAACAAAAACATTAAAGGGAGATTTTAAGATCCCCAGCAAAAGAACAGTTGGGGAATGGTAGAGTTTGTGTGGTACAGGAGCCAAGAGGGTGCATGAAAGAAACCTTTGAATCCTGGTGTATTGGTTAACCCATGTAATCTCTTCTCCAAGGTTCTCCACGTGGAAACCCAGAACTGAATTTATCATTGGTTTTGACATGAACTCCGGACATGTTTTCTCTTAATTTCTACCCACTAAATTCTCCCCTTGTAAGTTAATATGCAACCCAATCCTATATATGTCTTATTATCCTTATTTTTTTGTTCGCCAGGCATATGTGGTGCATGCCTTTAATCCAGTCACTTGAGAGGCAGAGACAGGCAGATCTCTGTGAGTTCTAGGCCAGCCTGGTCTACAGAGTGAGTGCCAGGATAGGCTCCAAAGCTACACAGAGAAATTCTGTCTCGAAAAACCAAATTAAAAAAATCTTTTATTCACATAAGGTATACATGTACATGTATTCTTTGGAGACAGGATCTCATGTTGCTAGAGTGAACTCATGATGCCCTTGAGCTGATCCTCCAACCCCACCACGGGTTTGGGATTACAGGGTATATGTCACCATGGCCTCTTTTATGTGGTGCTAAACACCAAACCCAGAACCTGGTACAAGCTAGCAAAAGGATCCACCGAAAGGTCTACATGCCCAGCTCTGCTGACCCTAGTTCCAGATGAAGGGTTAGCTTTCTCTACCCTAGGATCACAGTCCAGGAATAATCCTAGTTGGCTTTCTTAGCCAGGAGGACCTGAGGGCTGGTATCCTGAGGCATGTTGATGTTGAAATCTTCCGAGTAGGTGCGGGAGCTAGACTTCAAAGGGGACACCCTTGCACAAAATACTTGAAAGGGTCTAGTGTCTTTGAATTTGAAAAATGAGGCTGATACCATCTGATGTGCCAGAGGCCTAGAAAGCCCAACTCCCTACCTTGTCCAACTGTCCATTCTCTCCTACACTTGGAAGAGTGTCAGAACTGACCGCTGTCAGTCAGCCTTGTTTCTGCATACCTCCCCTTTCAGCAGTCACCCTGAGGCAGCAACAGTGTAAGCTGTCTCCTAACCATGCGAGCATCCGTCCTGGCTTAGTACCCTGACACAGGATCCCTTCCCTGCTCTCCTAGCCATCCCAGCATCCACCCTGGCCGGGTACCCTGACGCCCGGTCCCTTCTCTGGTGTGTACCGGCCGAGCTCAGTGGGGCGGCCCCAGGCTACGGGCGCCTAGCAACCAACGGCGCTCCGGGCAGGCGGGGCCACAGCTGCAAGCGCTCGCTGGCCTCGGCAGGACCGGGCCGTGCTGAGCGGCGGCTGTGCTCCGAGTGTCGCCGGGCTGCCGGCCGCCGAGCATGCTCGCCCTGAGAGTGGTGCCAGTGCGAGCAGGCTGCCCGCCGCCCCGCCCCGCCGCGGCGGACAGTCCCGCGACACCACCGCCAGCCTGGACCGAGGGCTCGAGTCCGCGCCAGGTCGCCGCTGGCTCCCACGCTGCCCGCTGCCCCCGCTGGCCGAGCCGCCCTCCTTGGTGCCGTGGGTCCGGCACCTGAAGAAACCCATCTCCTCGGTGCAGCTGCGGGGACGGTGAGTTCAGGGAGCCGGGGCTCCTGGCTGGAGGCAAGAAAGGCTCTAAGGAGAAACTGAACACCTAGAGAGCCACGTGGGCCACTCCAAAGCTGATCTCGAGGCACTTAGGCAGGATGGCTTGGGCATGGGACCTTGCCAAGCCTGCTCCTCTTGTGGGGTCAGATTGGCAGGAAACGAGTTTGAAACCCTGAATATTCTTTCCACACCTCTTAGGTTCTGTACAAGCAAAGCACCCCAATGTTTACTGGACACACCCTTACAGGTTTTGCTCTCCACCTTCCCAGAGCTTAAACCTAAGGTTGGGAGCAGAGATATGTTTACTTTCTTTGACTTCTATGTGCCCCTCGTCTTCCGCATAGGGTCAGCTAGATGCACCAGAACTCCCTATGTTGCCATTCTCTCTTGTATAATTTCTGATGTGCTCATATTTGTGGGTACATTTTTTTTTAATTTTCACTGGAATCTAAAGATTCTAGGAAATAATTGTGCTGGGCAGGTAGACTCTTTTTTGTATTGGTCATCCACACTGGTTGTCCAGCCTGTTTGGAGTCATGAATGCCAGGGAAACCATAGGGACAAATGCAAACAACTTTGCAAACAAACGGTCTTGGATTATATGCACTCGTGCATATGTAATCCGTATTAATTAAATGTTAGAATAATGTTTCATATAACTTTTGCTCTCACCTTTTAAAAAGGTTCTCTGTGCTTTTGAAATTACATTACGGCATAGTGGGGCTCCCCTGACTCAGCACAGAGACGTGAGTAGGATGCAAGGGACTTTCCTAATTTTCTACCACTTCCTTTACTTTTTAATTGCGTGTTTTCTGTTTTCCACCATTTTTCCCTTTCATTTGGCCACGGAGGGTGTAACCTATACAATCCCAACTGTGAACAGTTCCAGTTTTCCCCTTTTACAAACAACACAACAATGAACATTTTACACAAGGAATCAGTTCTGGAGAAGAAATCCCTTGGCACAGGGCTGCAGGGATGAGGGGCGGGGCTGTGAAATGGCTCCAAAATCGAAGGTGTTTGTAGCACAACCTAGAGGAGAAAGAGAACCAAGTTCATATGCATGCTGCGGCTATGTGACCTCCGCCCCAAACAGAAAAAAAGTAAAGAAACAGAACCACTGGGTCAGATGTATGTACATTAAAACTTTTGACAGAATTTTACTTTTACAAAAGTTTGTGTTGATTTGCATTTTCTTTTGGGGTGTATGTGTGTGAGACGATCTCGTGTCATCCAGGCTAGGCTTGAGCTCACTATGTAGCTTGAACTGACCTCTTGCTCTTACTTCCCAATTATAAGTGCGCCATCATGCAGGGCTTGATTTACATTTGCATCAGCCGGCTGTGGTGAGGAAGAAAATGATTATTATTATTATTGAAAAAGAAATGATAGTTTCTGTTTGCAGAGCGCTTATTTCATGTTACTGCTGGACATTTAAAAAAAGTCGGGCACTGCCGGGCGTTGGTGGCGCACGCCTTTAATCCCAGCACTCGGGAGGCAGAGGCAGGCGGATCTCTGTGAGTTCGAGGCCAGGCTGGACCGACAGCCTCCAAAACAGAGAAACCCTGTCTCATAAAACCAAAAAAAAAAAAGTCGGGCAGTGGTGGGGTACACCTTTAATCCCAGCACTCGGGAGGCAGAGGCAGGTGGATCTCTGTGAGTACGAGGCCAGCCTGGTCTACAGAGCGAGTTCCAGGACAGCCTCCAAAACAATACAGAGAAATCTTGAACCCCCCCCCCCCCAAAAAAAGAAAGAAAGAAATCAATCTTTGTCCACTTCTGAGAGTCAGGCATGACACTGAGTATGTAGCTGTCAGAGGGCAAAGGGAAGACTAAATCCAGGTTCACTTTGCTCCGGTGCTGTGACTTTGTAGGCTTTCAAGCCTCGTTCAGTCACTGGCTGGCGATTGTTTTCGTGGGTCGTGTGAGCAGGAAGTAGTAGCGTCTTTCTCCACTAACTCTGCACACTTAGATGTGGCCCTTGCTTCCATAATGCTCTGGGTTGTCTGTCTCTCCAGTCACTCCCCTGTCCTTCATCTTCATACCCCACAAGGCTGGTCTGGGTTTTTTCTCATTCTCAAATCTCCTTTGCCAGGTTTAGTAAAGATTCTGGCCTTGCTTCTCATCTGTAAGTAGATAGTTCTTAACTTCTTGTCTCCAAACCAGTTACCCCCAGTTCCTACTGCGTGGTTCCGGGTTGCGTATGTCCGCTGGATGCCCTGCTGTATTTGTTTTTTGTGAAAGTGTTTCTCATCGCCTGCCAACCTTCACTCAAGCTCAGTTGCTTGGAAGTCTGTGTGTTGGTCAGGTTCCCATGCCCAGTTAACAGCCAGAGTCACCTTTAACTCCCTCTTCCTTGTCAAAACTTCGATGTGCAATCCACTGTCAATCTCATTCTCAATCGACTGTTTTAATAGCCTCTCAGCAGGGCATGGCAATACACACCTGTAATCCCGTACTTGAGAAGCTGAGTAGGGGGTTTGTGAATTTGCGGCCATCCTGGGTGACACAGTAAGGCAGAAATTGTATTTTAAAAAAAGAGAAGAAAAAAGAAAAACGCTTGTTTTTAGCAATTTGCCAGTTATAGTGACATACAGATCCCAATATGCTAGCTACTTTTATATATGGGGATTGTTGTTGCTCACGCTATAACAACCCAAAGGCAGGTGTATTTATCAACAGGTGGCTTTCTTCCCATTGAACCCAGGCTCTGCTTTCATTAGCAAGTCGTTCTTATCAAAATCAGCCAACATGCAACTGATGACTAAGTTTCAACAGAGCTTCCTCAGAAATCCAAGAGGAAATTGTATTCTATTTTTACGACAATCTGGGAAGTCACACTGACTTCCCTTTTTCTTTATTTATTCATCTATTTGCATTTATTTAATGGCCGAAGAAGTTAAATGCAGGGAAAGGGACCCTGATCTTATCACTGAACATGGCCACCATCACATAGGAAGGAAGCTCATGTGACCATAAACTCGTACTAGTGCATCCATCGTTGACAAAGAGTGTTTCACAAAAGCCATGAGAAGACAAATTGCAAACTGCCATTGGCCTGTGAAAGCTGCTGGGAGGCTTGCCATCTATCTGAGCCATGATAAGAAAGAGTGAGCTAAGCCGGGCGGTCGTGGCGCACGCCTTTAATCCCAGCACTCGGGAGGCAGAGGCAGGCGGATCTCTGTGAGTTCGAGACCAACCTGGTCTACCGAGCGAGTTCCAGGACAGGATCCAAAATAATACAGGGAAACCCTGTCTCAGAAAACCAAAAAAAAAAAAAAAAAAAAAGTGAGCTACTAAAGGATGGAGCTTCCGGGCTACACCTGGGGCAGGAATTCACGTCGCTCCACAGAGACCACAGCCCAGGAAGATTTCTTGATTGTGCCTGGAACCCAGCAGAGCTTCTCTGTATAGCAAAGTATCCATTGATCAAGCAACAGTTGACTCCTGGAGGCAGCACTCTCTCGGAGTCAAGCTTGAGGAAGTTAACCAGTCAGGAGACACGCAAATGGCTCCCCCGGGCCCAGCAACACCCCTGGAGTAGCCCTGGAGAGCCAAAGGAGCTGGCCCAGGGGTCGGCATAAAGGAATGGTGTCTTGCAGCTGCTCTGAGAGCTGCCCAGTGTGCTGGCACTGGAGAAGTACATGGCTTCTTAAAGCACGAGTTGGGGGTGGGGCGGGGAGGGCGCTGCAATGGGAGCCATCTTGAGAAGGTCCCGGCAAACAGTGCTGAAAAAGAAAGGCATGTCCCCCAGCTCAAAGTCCAAGAAGAGGTGGAAGGAAGTGCAGACTGGCAGAGAGTGAGCATCTGACCTGCCCTTTTTGTTGTTTTTAAACTTTGAGGTGTGTTTGCTTTTTGTAGGCTGACTGATTACCTGGAACGTGTGTGTGTGTGTGTGTGTGTGTGTGTGTGTGTGTGTGTCTGTGAATCTGTGTATTCCATATCAGTACAAGTATTTTGCTTTTTATTCTCCCCTTACCCTTCTCTTCCTGTCCTACTATAATCCCCCTCCTGTCTCTCTCTCTTTTTCCTTTCTCTATCCCTCAATCCCTTCTCTTTCTCCATCTCCCTTCTTCCCTCTTACAATCAAGTCTTCCACCTTCCGTTTTTCTCTTATTTTTACTTTTTTAATATTATAATTTTTATTTTTCCTCTCTTTTTAAAAACCTCTCATCATATCAAAATATAATCATTACACTAATCCTTTGGTAAAGCGTTGCAATAATCCTTTGGTTTATACTGTTTCTCCTCCATTCCAGTTGCCGTTCTTAGAGTTTTGGGTACTGTCGTTGATGCTCTGCTTTTACCTTATCTCTACATCTGGATCACTGCTATGTGTTGTTACTCTTTTGTTTTTTCTCCTTCCCACAGTGTTTGGAGAATGCTGTGTAGATGTTGTGTATATGTTGTTGAGGGCACACACTTAGCCCAGACGAGAGTCAGCACATGTTGCCCTACACATAACCTCCCCGGCCCAAACTTCAGCAAATAGGTAAACTCAAAGACTAGGAGAGCTAAAAATTCCAAGTCAGGGACCAGGCTCTGGGTAAGTATGTGTGTGTGTGGGGGGGGGGTATGTGTGTGTATGTGTATGTGTGTGTGTGTTATCGAGTTCCTGACCCCTGGGAAAATGCCATAGATTCAATTCAATTATAGTTAAAGGATTTATTGATTACAGCCAGCAGGACAACAGTCTCTTAGGTAGATTTGAGATTGCTGTGAGAAGGGGCAGGGAAGGCTTTGTAAAGGCAAAATCCACAAGAGGACCTGGAGTTTTGAGCTGTTTGCTCTGCCAAGATTAGGTAACCTGAATGTCTGCAGAAGCAGATTACAGAAACCAAGAAACAGTTAGTCACAGCATAATCAGCGGATAATCACAGTTGCACATTTCAGAGGGGGTGGTCCGTAAATTAGAGTTACTGTGGGGGTTCGTAAATCAGAATTACTGGGAATTTATCTTCAGGGACTGGAGTCAGAGATAA